ATTTCTCAACAGCAAGTAGCAGACAGGGTACAAACTACCTAGGGAGCAGCCTTTCCCAACTCATTATCCCTAGTCAGCATGGCCAATGGTTCTGCTATCAGAGAATGGCAACATTAGAACAGCAGAAGCAGAACAATTTAAGTGAACTCAATCATTGTATGTGTTTCTTTGTCCCACTGATCTTTGGTGTAACCATCACATCTTGAGGAACATAATTCAGATAATAGTCATGTCTTCTTACACTCCATTGTAAGATTATGACAAATACGGAGCTTTTATACCAAGTCTTTTCCCTCCTCTTCTCCACAAGCAGACATGGCTCACCAGCCTTTCTTTGTCTCTTGTCAGATACCTGGCAACTCGCACTCTACAATATACAGTCCCAGTAATCCCAATTTGCAGACCCACCCTAGTAATCCAGTACTCATCACTGGTGGGCAGTGTTTGCCTTAGTGTAGGCCTGGCCTATCTTGAATGGAAATTTAATTCTTAAAAGGGTGCAAGAACTGGCCCCAAGCTACCAACTGGACAGAGAGGAGTAGAATGAAAGCAATAAAGAGTACTACTGTACTGAGAAATTAGAGGTTTAGTAACCCATGATGAGCTACAGGTGAGTAGATGCCAGATCCTGATTCTACCCCCTTTAAATGTGATGGTTGTATCCTATTGGCAACTTTCTGAATAGAAGTATGATTATGCTCTGCAGAGTGCGAATACAAAAACTAAGCAATGGAGTTCCTGATGGGTTTTTAAAAAGAGTAGCATTTTGGAGGGTGGGGAACTATGCTGCCTGATCTATTTATTCCCTAGCACAGGGGTGAACAGCTGTGGGTCATTTTTGCCCCCACCCCCAGATTCCTCCTTCCACAGAAATGTAAAACCTCCCTGTTGGAAGCATTAATTAATTGCTTGATTGATGATTTAAAATGATAACAAAGTGTTTGGAACAGCTATAGAGAACTAAAAGGGGCAAATTTAGCTCCAAGGACAGGTAAATGTATGCCCTATTTGATCCAACCTATCACAGCCATAAAAAAAAGTTTAAAAAGTATCAGTGAGGACATTTTGGCTGTCATTAAAATTATTTTGTTGTTTTCTGTACAATTTTGGGGGCAATGGGAGAGCCCTAGCAGGAAATGTTCATGGCCCATGGGCTGCACATTATTCACTACTTCCCTAACACTGAACATTTAACACTAAATACCCTTGATAGAGAGAAGATATGCAAATTTTGAGATTCTTACATCACCAAGAGGGTTAGACTAGATCATATGCCAGGTCCTTTCCAATGCCTATAATGCTATGATTCTCTTGTAATGAGCGTCTATTCACCCAATGAAGCTGATAGGAAGTAGGGTCTGGACTGACAAAAAAGCAGCATTCTTCATAAACGGCATAATAATGCATGAAATTTCTGATATAAGATGTCTCAGACTGTGCTATCTGTGGGTGTGTCTGGGCCCATATATGTGAAGAAGGCTATGGCAGTACATTGCAGAAGATTTGAAAGGCTTCAACCCCACAGTTTGGAATTAAAATACCATGGAAAGAGACTCTGGCAGAGATAAGAGATCAGCTTGCCTCTGTAGGTTATTATAGTCATCCGGGCAGCAAAATGAAACATTCCTATATATGATACCTGATGCTGAAGACATACAACTGGGGATGATGATCACTCTCTTGCTCTGCTAGAAGTATCTTATTGGCCATTGAGGAAGGCATAATGCTAATCAGACATTGGTTGGACCCAGTAAGGCTGTTCTTAAACACTTCCATGGAAATATATTCTATTGGTATCCATGAAGTTGGATTAACAGATAGGGTTCAGCTTAAGATAGGGAAGAATGCAAAAAGACCATTTCTGTAGCAACAAGAAAGAAAAAGCCAATGTGGATGACAGAAGAAACACAGGTTGCAAAGGACCGGTGAGAAGCAAAAGATGACAGAATAGGGTCTGAATGCTGAATGTTACTTTTCAGTGATTATCACATAGAGACAAACAGGACTATTACAATGCCCAGTGCAAAGAAATAGAAGTGAGCAAAAAAGGGAGAAGACAGGAGACCTCCTCCAATAGATCCAAGAAATCAAAGGGAACGTCTTACCTAGACTTGGAATGCTGAAAGACAAAGAAGGAAAAATACTCTCTTACCAGGACAAAATAAAGAGAAGGTGGAAAGAATATGCAGAGGGACTGTACAGACAATATGAAAGGATGACAGACTTCTTCAAAGTGGAATCCTTTGAAGAAGAGCCTGCAGTATTAGAAAGTGAAGTGAAAACAGCTCGAAAGTACATGCAAAAAATAAACCACCTTGAGTAGATAGGATACCAATAGAATTACTCCAAGCTGTGGAAATGATTCAGAACAAAACCTAACAAAAATATGTCAACAGATTTGAAGACAAAACAATGGCCTACAGACAGGAAATATTCTCTCTCTATATTCCAATCTCCAAGAAAGGAGATGCAAAAGTGTGCAGCACCCATAGGACCATTGCACTGATCTCTCACACAAGCAAAATAATGCTCAAAGTGTTGCAACAAAGAATACTACCCTCTATGCAGCAAGAAATGTTGCTTATCCAAGCTGGATTCTGAAAATGAAGAAGCACTGAAGACCATATTGCTAATATAAGTTGGCTACACAAAAGAATTTCAGAAACGGATCATCCTTTATGGACTATAGCAAAGCCTTGCTGTATGGACCAGAAGATGCTATGGATGGTCCTGAAAGAAATGGGTGTGCCTCAGCACTTGATTGTCTGGTGCATAACCCATATCACAGACAGGACGCTACAGTTTGGACAGAATACGGAGAAACAGAATGGTTTCCCATAGGCAAAAGGGTCAGACAAGGATGCATTCCCTATCAGTTTGATCTTTATGCACAACATATCACAAAGAAAGCAGAATTAGAATTAGAGGAAGGAGTGAGCATTGATGGAAAACCATCACTAAATCAGGATAGGCAGATGATAGCATGCTACTGGGCAAAAGCATCAATGACTTGAAACAACTCCTGATAAAAGTGAGAGAAGAAATACAAAAGCAGGGCTGCAGCTGCATATTAAGAAAACAAAAATCAAGTCCACAGAAGAATTTCAGAACTTTACTGTTAATAATGAAGAAATTGAAACTGTGAAAGATTTTGCATAGCTTAGCTCAATCATCAGCTCAAAGGGAGACTGCAGCCAAGAAATTTGAAGAAGACTGAAACTGAGAAGGGCAGAAAGGGCAGGAACTAGAAAAGATTAAGTGGAAGGGCATTTTACTGGACACCATGGTCAGGATCATCCAAACTATTGCATTCCCAATCACAAGCTATGGGTGAAAGCTGGACAGTGAAGAATGGTTACAGGAAGAAAATTGATCCATTCAAAATATGGAGCTGGAGGAGAGCTTTGTGAATGGACTGACGGAAAGAAGAACAAGGGAGTCCGAGATCCAATCAAGCCTGAACTCTCCTTAGAAGCAAAAATGCCAAAGCTGAGGCTGTCATACTTCAGACACATCATGAGAAGGCAAGACTCACTGGAGAAGACAATCATGCTAAAGAAAACTGAAGGCAGAATACAAAAGGGAAGACCAAATATGAGATGGCTTGTATCCATAAAGGAAGCCACAGTCTTGAACTTGGAAGAGCTGGATGGAGCTGTCAAAGATAGAGCATTTCAGAGGGCTTTCATTCATAGGGACGTCATATGTTGAAGACCACTTTATGCCACATAACACACACACAGATGCTTGAAATATGAGAGGATTATTTCTACAAGTTTGATCTTTTTCAAGTGACAGTGGCAAGAAGTGCAGTTCTTAACATTTAACAGAAAAATCTTGGCCACAGTTCAGCATGTCAATAAATACATTGCTTTTAAGCATACCTAACTCTGCACAAGTTCATAGCCCGTACATTTTAAATTGTCTATGTAGTGCCCTAATCATTTTTCAGTAAGCAGTACACAGTTGAAGGATGCATGGAGGAGAACATACATTGCTTCTCCTATTTTCTGAAGACCCGCAGATTGCATTGACAAAGAAAAAAAATGGATGTGAATGGTACTTCTGCCCAGAATCACTGACTTTTTGATCTACCTTTAAACTTAATGTTATAATCTGAAGTGTCTTTCAATAGTCCAACTAACATTAGATAATTGACTGACATTTTACCCACCCTGTTATCCACTGCCAAATGGAATTCTTGCATAAATTTCCTGTGTGGCTAGTGGTGATATACAAAAGTTTCAGTTTTGTAGTGGCTCTGTGTAGAGTTGCTATTGGGCAGGGTTTCGCATTTTGGAAGAATCAAATGGAATCTTGAATTAGAACGCTATGCTGTATTATAGGCAAGATTAGCTCTATTATGAGTCCAACATCCCTTAAAATGACTGGAGTATGAAACACAATTTCTTTTAGGTTATCTCTTCCTCTCTGATACTTCTGACAGCCAATGCTTGTTGACTGATACATCCATTTACTTCAACTTCACATTTTTATTACAAACACACCTATGCCACAAAAAGCTTTTTGATGAAAGCTTTGCAGATATTGCAGACATAAACAGAAAAAGCTGCAGTACTATACATACTACCCTGGATATGCATTTCATTGAAATCAATGGGACTTTGATATAGATAGATAGATAGATAGATAGATAGATAGATAGATGAAGATGTAGATATAAATTTAGATATAGATATATATGATTCCATTGTAAATGAGAGCATTATCTGATGGGAGAAAGGGCTTTTTAATCACAGTGCCTATCTTTCTTATTGACAGGAAAAATAATGACGAAATCTATTCACCATTTGTTGCTTGAACAGCCATTGAAAAATACACAATTCAAGACCTTAAAAGTGGCATTTGAAATTGGGTATAGGCAGATACTTAAGTGTATCATTTGCATTTTAAAAGAACATCAAAGATAGCAACGTTTTCCTTAGCTCTAGCATGTATGCATATATAAAGACACCGCTGGCATGCAATATTCCACTTACTGTGACTTTTTTCATTCCAGTTATACAGTAGAAATCCTCAGCGCAGAAAACTTTCCTACAGAGTCCTGGCATTTTGTTTAAAGGATTCCAGAAAATGTCTGTATATTTCAAATCAGCTTTAGTATTAACAAAAGCAAAAAGTAAAAAGAGAAAAAGAAAAGCTTCCAGAGTTACCTCATAGAGATGGCAAGAAGATGGAAAGAGTCTCTAAATACTTTGGCTGTGTATACAAAAGAGAGGCAAGGGGGAAAAACACCCACAACACCCACCCAGAATCCGTCTCAGCCTCGACTAGCATAAAGTTCAGATTTCATTGCTGAGATCATTGCTCTATTCTCAGCACTTTTGCTCTATAAGTGTGATTCTGACCAAAACACGTTCTGCAGCTGGAGGGAGCCTTAACTAAGTGGAATTCTACCAAGCTTTCCCTAGTTACTTCTGTCTACTAATGCAGACTGATGTTTTGTGAGACGGGGCCTCAAAGAACCAGGCCCAGATTGCTCGAAAGTATTTCCTGCTGTTGAGTAGTAGGCATGTGGAAGTGTGTGTGTGAGAGAGAAAGAGAAAGAGAGAGAAAGAGAGAAAGAATGAGACTCAGATGGGGAGAAGAATCCTGACAACAGCAAACTTGAGAAAACCCTGATTTGGGCTATTTATGACACCTTCCTTAGTTTCCCAGTTTTTCTGTCTTGTGGCCTTTTATGAACACGGACATAGACTAAAACAGATTGCATCATCTTGTTTCCTCTCTCAAATACAAACACAACTGTGAAAGCATTTCAGATTCTTTTTCAAACACTCTTGGGCAACAAAGGAACAACAGCTAAGAAAATTAGCTCCAGTTAATACACTGGAAAGGTTTACAAGAACCTCCCCCCTCTAGGGTACCAAGCCCAAGTCAGAGGCAGGAAAAGAAGGGGAAAAGAAAGAGGCAAGATGGGTGGATAATACAGAGACAGCTTATGCAAATATACCGTAGAGACAAATTTCTACCAGTGAGCTTTCGAACCAATGAGAAGTAAGAGAAACCAACGCTACTGCATATAAGGCTGCTACAGTTTATATGTTTATAGCACATTACCTCTATGGAGAATTCTCCAGAGTCTCACAGATCCAGGACAGCAAAAGCATAAGGATAGACTCCATCTTGATCATATTAGAATTCAGATGACATAAAACACTTGTAACTACTCTTTCCCTGTCTGACAGGGTGCCTGAATCATATCTCTGGAGCAGCCCACAGCATCTATATCCTCCATTCTATACAGATTTGGTGAAACTATCTGCTGTTTATCTTTTTCTGCTTTCTTCTGCCTCCTCTGAAAGATTTCCTCCGTGTTGCTCCAGCCTGGGAACTTGGATTGCCATTTGGTTTTGATTAAAACCAGACGGACAGCTCCGTAAAACTTTGAGAGTAAGCTAATGGAAAGTGCCAGCATGGCTTTAATTAGAACATCAATTAATAATACATGTTAACTATTCACATAACAAATGCTACCAGAGTTCTTGTGGTCATTTCTGAGGAGATGAATACAGTGTTATTCACTCAGGAACCTGTTTGTTTGTTTGTTTGCATGTTTGTTTCAACTGTAATAACAAGAATAAAGGAGAAGAGCATTCTTCAGGTGTAAGATTGTTGACTTGCTTTTAATATGGAAGAACTGCTGATGTTTTATTAAGATGTTGAACCTACACAAAGTAGTGATTCTGTTGACTCTTTATGGTTTTCCAAAATGCACATTATACATATTTCTGAGGCAAAAAATTAAAGCTGTGGCAGTTATTAATCACAGCCTGTATGCAGCCTGGTTGCTTCAATTCTATTGGGCCAAAGCACTTTGACAGTGAACTTGCATCCCAAATGAATTAGAATATTTGGTAACCAACCTTAACTCAAGTCTGGAATTAGTCTTGAACTGATCTCCCATGGGATATCAGGTGGAGATTCAGCATACACACAGTATTTTAGTATTGGTTGACAGAAAGAGAGAAATTGAAACTTGGTATAGCTATATTGGTACAGCTGCTTCTGGGCCGATATTCAGTATCACATCAAGAGTTCAAGGAAATTTTGTGAGGAGCCTGGTGTACCCACAATGCACAAAATCTCCATCTTGCTTGCAAGGGAGAGACTGGGATTCTATTACTATATTGTGTATTCCCTGACCACACAGATACCTGCCTGACTTCTCAGGAACAGTCTCAAACCTGGGTATTGGAGAACCCCTAAAGCGGCATTTACTGAAATGGCTTGGGATTTCATAGTCACCATGACAAACATGGCCTGATGTGCTCACCAAGGTCATAAGCTGCATAAATTGTTTAGTTTTGATGAGAAGAGGGCACACTGTAAGGACAGCCCTTTAATCCATCCATCTTTACTTGGTGATGAGGCAGAGTTTGAAAAGGAATCATGGGGACTCACTCAACTTTGTAGGAGTTGGGGACAGATATTATGGCCTCTGAAAGTTGTGGATTTTTAGTCTACCCTTGGCCATGGCAAGTCATTTTGCTGCCTGAGTGAAGCATAAGAAATTGTCCTTGCCTCATTTCCATGTAGAAGCTGAATACACAGGCAGCTGAATCTGCCACCACCTCTGAGGGCAGCAGGACTCTTTAGGGCATGGGTCCTCAAACTACAGCCCGGGGGCCGGATCCAGCCCATCATGCCCATCTGGACCCGCACCGCATGCGCACCCACACACGCGCCAACTGCCGCCCACCTCGCCCCACACGCAGGGAGGCAGCGGTTTGCTCGCTTGGAGAAAATGATCTCCAAGCGAGCAAGCCGCTGCCTCGTGTGCCTGCCTCACAGTGCGGGCCCGCCCACACCTCGCCTCCCCTTGCCGCGCGCACCCACACACACTTCCCCCACCCCCGTGCTGGCCCTCGTGCACCGCCGCACCACCTTTCCGACCTGTGCCCAGCACCGGTAGCTTTCAACTGGCCCCCTGGTGGAAAAGTTTGAGGACCCCTGCTTTAGGGGATAAGGATAGGCCAAGAAGCACTCAAGCATTGTATGTACACAAAGAATGGCCGGGCACTCAGGAAGAACAGGTGGAGGACTCCTGCTCCCATCCACAGTGTTGGCTGCCTGGACAGCAGCCTCACTCTGTCTCGCACTGGGGTGGGTGACTTGTGGCACTTCATATGTTCAACTCCCACATCCCATGGAACTTGACCATGCTGGTTAGGGCTGATGGTTGTCATAGTTCAAAATATCTGGAGGGCTGCCACAGCTTACCCACTCCTTGGCTAATGGGTCAACCATGCGTTTGGCATACTTCTAGCTGACAGAACAGAAGCCACAATAAATTCTGCCACTAAAGAAGGACTTAGGAAGCTTCCTGCTACTAAATCAATCCACGTAGCTCTGTATTGTTGGCACTGACTGGCCGTTGCTTCAAGGGTTTCAGATAGGGTCTTTCATCTCTACTAGAGGTGCTAGGAACTGAACCTGGTGCCTTCTGTAGTTGAAGCATGTGGCCCTTATCCAGTGGAAAGCAAGAAAGCCATTAGCTTTCTAGCTGCAGATTTTGCTGCTGTTCTGACCACCAAACAACCACTGTTGTTATAACATTGTCTAACCAAAAAATAAAAACAACTTGTGGCATTTTGTATGCAGCAAAAGAAGAGAAATATAGGACTAGTAACTGACTATCCAATAGTAAAGCAAGTCTGTAAACAATAGGCACAGTGAGTTTCCAGAAAGCTTTCTAAGAAATTGGTAACCTACTGATCTATTCTTTTTGATATGTGGTTCCTGCAGAAAAAGCCACGTGATACTTATAATAGACCACATTATTGTATTAATGTGACCCAGAGAACAGTAGATAATTGGCTCAACCTCTCCAAAAACACTCTAAGTGAGTGAGATTGTTTTGCCTTTACAGATGAAATGAAGACGTTCCTTTAAATATTTCCCTTGGGAAGTATTTCCCTTAGAAATGGCAAAACATCCCAGATAAGGCGAGTTTTCACTTATCATTAGCAGTCGTTCAAGGCACCCAGGTCACAGGTAGGATAATGAATGTGTGGTCTGAGGTCTGAGGCTTGGACAGTGGTACATATGTTTAAGTAGGAGGTGCAGGATGAGTGGGCTCTCCAAGCCCTGTCTGTTAGCCCCCAAACCATCAGCATCTGCTGCCGCCACCACAAAAATGTAGCAGAAAGTGGCAAAAATGAAAAAAAAAAAAATCTAGAAAGAGCCTAAGCCATAGAGCATCCCAGGAAGCAGAGGTTGAAGATCCAGCCTTCTCTTTGTGATGCTGCAGAACTGAGGTTCCAGTGATATGGAAGAGACCATGACACCTGTTCCCAGTACATTTCTCCTCATTTGGGGAGGTGTTGCTATCAAGGTGGACTTAACTTCAGAGTTTTGATGCTGTTGCTGCAGACCAACATCTGTTGCCGCTTGGGTGAGCATGAGAGGGGTGTGTGCATGTGAGTTGTATGCATGACTGCCTATGTGTCACTGCAACAGAACCCAGTGCAGCCCTCAAGACTGAAAAGATTGTGAACGCTAATGTCGCAAGTTCAAGTGGAAGGATTGGCCTGAAACTCTGGAGAGCTACCGTCAGTTCAGAGTAGACAGTGCTAGCGTAGATAGTGAAAAAGTCCAGCCCCATATAAGACTGTTTACTATATTCTTAAGCTACTCTGATGGGGAAGATCAGCAGATCTGGAAACTTCACCATGGGCAGTGGCATGCAATAGGCTGCCTAACGTCATTTGATTCCCAGGAGCAGGGGAACAGGAGGTTGTGTTGATTGATATCGGACCAATTTGAATTATCTGCAATTTTTACTTCTGAGGTTCTTGCAGTTCAGAGACCTGATACATCTGTCAAATATAGATAGGTACAATTAGCCAGCTATTATGAGACAGGACATGGGATGTAGTCCTTGAAGCTTTATTTGTGCTTTCTTGTGCTACCCTATGCATGCTTAAACAGAAGGAACGTCCCACAACTTGCAGCATCCTCTAGCTAGCCAGTGCTGGGAATTCTAGGCCTCTTTTCCTGCTCAAACATGCCTAGAATTGTGCTCTTAAATGCAACACTTAATTTCTTTCTTTGAATAAAGGATGGTAATACATAGAAAGCAAGCTAGCTAGATTTACTTATAGATTGACTGGGTTCACTCAACACAATAAGCAACTCTGCATAGTTACCACAGTTCATTTTTTTCACCATGATCAAGTGGTTTCTACATCATCATCATCATCATCATCATCATCATCATCTATTAGATTTCTATCTGGCCCACTCTCTGGGTAGGTTGCAAAATAAAAAAAAAAATAACAACAACATACATAATAAAACATGATATAAATTAACAAATATATTGCAACAATAAAATCACAACAATCAAACACAGAAAACCCCTGCCCCCCCCCATTCAATCTCCTGCACTAGCATATATCCCATCAGCCAGCACACCTGAAATTCAACCCAAAGGT